TATGCAGGCTCTTGTTCATCACTGGTGAAAATGCACAGCTAATGGTGTTAACTGTGCTGAAAAGTAGTGTTTTGCAGTTGAGAATTTGTTCTATTTAATAGTGTTATTGTGCTCTCTGTATCAACTGTAATTTCTACAGAATTAAATTGGAGGCATTACTTTTGGTGCCACACTATATATATGTAATGGCAGTATATAATAGCCTATTTGACAGAAAGTATAAAGTACTGCTTCAGCATATCAGAAATATATTCTCAACTTCGTTTCAATTCACTTATGTCAGCTACTACATTTTATGTCATATAAAATCAGCTTTGTGTATACAAAATAACATGTAGGTATTGCCCCCCAAACAATATTTGACTTAAATCAGTTCGAATACCTGTATGGCTGAACAGAACATTTTACTGGATTAAAGTAATCTTCATTCCAGAGAAAAACATTATATCCAGGTCTGCCTGGTGATGTGAGCTGTCTCTTTGCCATCTGTTCCGAAGCAGGAAGAACACAGGATAGTTCTGCCACAGGGAATTCCTTCCCAGAGGCTGATATTTGGCAGACAGTCTCCATACTTATGCTTTACAGAGCAGCAGGAAGCATTCTCAGCACCTGTGTCTCAAGGTGCAGCTCCCTTTTATTTACCTGCATACATGTTCTTCTGAATTTTTACCTCTAGCAATGTAGTCAGTCCTGTGGTTTCACTGTGATTCATCTTAATCCTCAACACCAGAGAGGTTTAAAAATAAAAAGAAGCTATATCTAGCAAAACTTTAAAGTTTTACATAGTACAAGCAAACAGAGAATGGCAAGGCAAAACAAACAAACAAATCCAACATAAAATATCATCCTAATCATAATGTTGTTCTATTTTATGCTTACAATTAAGTTTAATTATACCCTTCATGTAAATGCCTTTCAGTGTGGTTTTGCTCAAAGGCCATAAAGTCATGCTTCATAAAATCATGCAACCTTCACACACCTCCACAAGAATAACTTCCTTCTCCAGTTACTTTGATATGGCTTTATATGCCCTGGGGAGTTCTAACTGTAGTCAGACACCTTGTGTACGTAGATCAGTTTCACTTCGCTCTTTTAGTAATCATATTGCTTAGTCCAGGCAGTTCATCTGGTAATATGCAAGTCTGGTTACTGTTATTGATCAGGATCTTCACAATAAAGATTAATACCATACATCAGATATAAACCAAAGTTGTGTGCCAAAGGAATTAAGTAAACAAATGTTACCGAGTGCCACTTATTGGGATCAACTTTTCTACCATGTTCCACTCCACTGCAACCAAAGTAAAATTTCCACTAAAATAAGTGTTAAAAGTTACAGCACAGGAGCCTAGAACAGGACAGCAAACAGAACATTCAGGAAGATACCAGAACGTTCAACCTTGTAAAGAATAAATATTCCAAATTTCAGTACCAGAAGAAAAGTTTTCTGATACCTGTCATAACATGACTTGAGAAATACAGGATGAGTAGTTCAATAGGTAAGAAATAAATGAAATAGTAACAGAGAAATAGCAATCAAAAACAGAAGTGGCAGATGAACAAAGCAGTAGCTCTAGAGAAGGAGAAAAGAGAGACAATGAACAGCTTGCATCCTGACACACCGAAGAGGTGAGCTTTTCTACCAGTTTTTCTTACGAAGAAAGAATTTGACACAGCAAGTTTAAACATGAAGATATCCATTTTCCTCACAAAATATATCAAATTCATTACATACAGTATTCTCAGCTGCGGGGAGGCAATGAATAATGCCAGTGAGAACTGCCTACTCCTGTCTAGCTTCTTTATGTTTTTCTCAGATCATTCCAAAGATCCAATGGTCTGTTCTTCTCATGTCACAATCTTTAGGACTTTCTGTGAAATATTAAAAGAATTTCTACTAAATTTTCCTCTCCCCATTTGTTTCTTGAGGGTTATTGACTTTGATTCTATCTGAGGTTTCTTTAAGACAAATTCATAGAGCTCTCTTTGTTAAAAGAAAAAATTCTGAACAGAATAGAAGCTTTATAGTTTACATTCATAGACATAAAGAATATGAAAAAATTACTTAGTTGAGCATTCCCTTTGCCTGCTAGCAATAGACACTGCCTACGTAATCTTGCATGAAAAAATATCCCTGTTTTGGACTGTAGTACCTAGTTGTGAAAACATAGGTCAGTATCTATAGCCATTCAAAATAAAGGTTTTTTTTCCTAAATATGTCTATGTTAATTGTTATCAGGTTGAAAGAGCTTCTGATTTGATTTGAATATCTCATTTCTTCTGCTGTTCCAAACTCTGAGACACACCTCAATCTCAAATGGAGTTTTTCATTACGTTTGAAGCTGTATGTCCTTTCATTTAATTTGAAAGGCTTGAACTGTTCAACAAAATATAGAACAAAACAGATTACTTAGCTGTTAGGAAGAAAGAGGAAAAACAGAACAAACATTGACTGCTATGAATTTACTTACAGATAACATTGCTGGAGAACAGTGATTGCCACGAAAATAAAAGTTAAGACCACTCATCTTAAAATAGACCAAAAATAAGTATTTATAACATAAAAACAAAACAGTAAGTATATATATATATGTATATATATTCAAGTAGAGATATTTAGTACTGATATCAGATCAGTATCACTGACTCAGAGGAAAACAAAAGGCTTTCACAAAAAATATAAATTATCTTTTACCATCAAGATCTCAAATTACATTAAAAGAACATTCTTATCTTCTCCTTCTTTCAGTCAGAATCACCTTTCCAAGGCTAGTCCACTTGACACAATTTAACCAGTGAATCAGAGACTGAAATGCCAGTCCACTAAGCACCCTGTTTCACATTAAGAGTAAGGGTGGCTAAGTTCAAATTCTATTTAGTATGTTGCAGATAAATAGATCTCGATGTCATCACATCTAGTTTCACTTTCTTTCCCTATTTACCCTGAAGAGCTGTAGTTTCTTTACCTAGTGTAAAGTCTGACACCCAATTTGCTTTCTATGACAATGAGGTTAGATTTATCATAAAAGCAAGAGCAAGCACAAATTACAGCATTTTCAGACTACCTATTTTATAGGCGGAAAAATGCACCAAGAAAATATTTGAAGCACAGCTTAGAACTGCAGCTTGAATTTCAATGATTCCAACCATTAATAAGCTATTCTTGTCTTTTATATACAGTAAATTGCTTGAGACCAATTCATACTTTTTTTTTTTTTTTTTTTCCCCCCTAAACATTTGTGTATCCTCATTATAAAAAAACTTATTAACTTATTTCTTCTATGTGGTTATAAAAAAAAAATAGGTCTGGAGAATCTTGTGTGGAAATCAAATATAAGACAACTTGCAACCAATTTGTCCAAATCTGGGAGGCAAAACTTCCCTTTCCCATATCAACAAGTTCTTCTGTCATGTTGTTACAGTTGGTGTTACAGCAAGAAAGATTATCGTGGTAAAAATGTGAAACAAACAGGGAAGGAATGCTCACCTGTACCTGACGATCTAGGTTTGCAGGAAGGACTCCACAAAGGAGGAACCTCTACAAAGAAAACCTTCCCCAGTGGCAGTCAGCCCTTAAGTGGGGTCTAGGAGAAGTGCAGCCAGGCTCCACTCCTTCCATGCAGGTGAATTGCCTTCACCTGTGCTCCCATGGCTGACTCAGTCCTTTCCTCAGGTGATCAATCAGTGGTTTGGGCCATGTTCGGACTCAACAGTTCCCATACACACATATTTTCATAACTTCTCCTAAAAGCAGTTTCTATTCTTTTCAGAGCTGAATGATTTAGACTCTCATTTTCTTCCAGCTGTAGATTACACAGAGACAAAACTCTCACTGAATTATGTGAGTGTAGATTGGCCTGTTTTCCAGTAGCTGCCAAACTTGTTGAAGCAGGGAAGCAATTTATGAACTATAGTAGTGCAATCTCTGGATGGTTTTAATTAATAAGTACCAGAGAGCTGGACAGAATTTACTAGCAACAAAAGGGAAGGTATTTCCCAGAGATATTTGAAAGCCTTACCTACTATTCAATCAACTAAATCATACATACTCCTAAGAAAAAGCTTTCCTAATTAAATAATGTTTTGTGCTTTTTAGGTATATCAAGATGTGGGGATAGTACCTTTTGAAAACTTCTGCATAGAAGATCCAATTTGATTTTCCACCAGTTAATTTAGATGTATAATTTCCCATTATTAATATACTTATTCTCTGCATATATTAAGGCACATAAATAAATGAAAGCAGTAAAAATCAGCTTATCAGATACTGTGTAACACATCATAGGACAGAATTGGTTAAGGATGAGTACACAAAATGTGTGTGTTTAATAAACTTAATTTTAACTGAAGACCAATAAATACATATGTAGCAGGGACGTAGTAAAAATTAACTAGGCTTATATATATTCCATATAGATGAGCTTTTGGGACAACAGAGAGATTTAATGTTCACTGACTGGTACTTTTTGGCTGAACAAAGGAAGAATAGTAATGCTGAGGGGCTACAGATCAATGGTTTTCACATTCTCTTGACTTTCTTAAGTGTTAGCAATAAAAATATCCACAGTTAAGGTTCAGGAGAAGAAGAGTGTCTCCAAAAAGATACCAGATAAGTTTCTGAGAAAAGAATGAAATAAGTCAACCTAACAAGATTCTGTACAGGTAAAAATAAAGCTTCTAAATCTTCTTGTAAACAAATATTCTGGTATTCTAATTTTTCATATGGCTTATATTGCTGTCATTTTCATGAGTCTAATAAGGAATTTTTTAATAAATAAGTCGCTGTAAACTTCTTATTTATGTTATTAAACATGTTCAAAAGAAAGCAACAAAAGTCCTGTAAGATATAGCGTCTGAATTCTCCCTCACACAAGGAAAGAGATAGAAAGTCAGAGGCCTCAGTGTGAAAATTAAAACAGCATTCCCTACTGTTTTCTGCTGCATGTTACATCTATGAGCTTTAATAGCAGGCTGTGCAAAAACAGTCTGGCATGAATTACCTTTTTGGTAGGTTTACCGTCATGAGAGGTGATGTTTCTCCTTGTTCCCCAAACTACTCTTGGATCTTCTCATCCTACTAGTCCATTGGAGAATGTTCCACAGAGTTGCCTGGACCACCTCACAGCATTCACCCTGTGAAAGAAATACATTTTAAAAATCTGTGATACATCAATTTAATCTTCTAGAGACATGCTAATCTAAACACATTGAGAAATAAGTAATGCAGATCAAAATATGATATGGAGGAGCTGTCATTATACTGTCAGAGAAGGTAGGAGTTGTAAGATATGCTATTCCCTCATCATACTTGCATGTGTAACACAGTTGCTGAAAGCACAGTTAATTTTAGGAAGACTTTAACACACAAATACCAGAAGAGATTTCAAAGGAAGCAATTAGCCAATGTGATCATCTAATCTCGCATATGAAGATCTTGCCTATTAGGAATGCCTACTGCATTTTTAAATGCTTAACAGTAATATGAAGGGTGTGTGTGTTACTGCTATATTTCTATAATGAGTAGCTTCAACATACATCCAGGGCATGATGATAAAAAGGATATTTTTCACCTATCTTTAGCAGCAGCAAAACACACACTTCTTGATGATGAGATATACCCCTAAGCATTTGAACCTACCTTGGAGAATTGAATGTAAATCGTGATGCAAATGAGAAAAAAAAATTAAAAATAATTACCCTGCTAAATTATTTTCAAGTTATAGCCTGGATAAATTGGGCCTATCCTATTTAAATCAATGAATAAATAAACTTTATAAATCATTATCATACATATAATTTCATAGCTTGTAAACAGAGGCATGAAATACAAAACAGATCTTCTATTTCAAATCTTATAAAATCACTGCTCATTTACTAAAGAAATATAAATTTCACGGCTTCTTGTTTATGACAAAAGACAATGGAGTAAATGGTGACTCCAAATAACCCATACGTCACTGATTCTGCTTTTCAAAGACCCAACTGCTTTCTATTCCTTTGGCCTCGGCTGCCTAGCAACCTCCACAGAGCTTTCTTAGTCTATACTAATTCTGGGCAGTTTATATTTATATATTTATTTATGATAATGTCTATAGGAAGGATACAGAAACAAAGAGCTGTTTCTTCCTTTTAACACTGGAGCCTAAATGAGTCACCTCAGCGTCTCAGTGAAAGACAGTCCTTGATTGTGCAATGAAAGGTACCTGCCTCTTTGAAATCACTTGGGAACTAAGAAAATCCCACTTTCCATGAGACAAAAGATGAATCTCTGTAAGATCATCTTGTTGTAATGGTCACTGATATTTCTTACCTTCCCTGTTGATTTGATTCTTTGACAAGCTTTTTCACCCTGAAATTCTAGCTGCTTATGTAATGCTCCTGCTTTCATGCAGCCTGGATCTTTTACGTAAGATGAAGACAGAGTTTGTGCTGCTTTACTGAGTCACAAGCAGTTCCTGCATCATCCAAGCACTGGAGAAAAATAGAGATTAAACTCTGATTCTCCAACTGTGTCTGTAACTCAAAGGGGTTCGGAAGGAGATGGGACTACTTATAATAGACAGTTTGAAACTAGATATGGACTTGTCTCTCAGTGAACCACTCAGCATCTTTTCTTGGAAGAGATTATTTCTTCAGGGTTTTTCACTTTATTATTTTTTCAAAACTGAGGGCTGCAAAGAAAATGTGCTAACGTTATATAAGAAAATACTTCTTTTCTTGCAAATTCTGTTCAAATACCACTTTGTAAATACTGCCAGATCAATTTATAACCTGATCAGCACACTCCTCTAATCAGGAAAAAAAAACCAAAACACCAAAACAACAACAAATGAAGGTCAAAGATGAATCCTAATCTGCTTTTCAGGATAATGTGTTAGAGGTAGGATAACTGGTTATATCTTGTGGCCACATGTCAAAGACGTGCCTTTTGGATCTCACTAGTTCTGACTAATGAACTCATATGGAAAAGTTTCTGTTTACTTCTACATCAAATTGAAACAACTTGAAATACAACAAATATGTCTCTTGAGACATAACAATATGCCTTGATCCCTCCACTACATTTCCTTCTGATTAATTTGACCTGTAGGTGTAATTTGGAGTAAAGGAGCAGAGCAAATCAGTAATAGAAAATGAAGCTGAAACTAGGTCTCTTAACATCTACTTTCTGCTGTTTACCAATAGAGCTATGCATAAAGGTTATTCTAAGAAGAATAAAAGAATAAATAACCACCACGTTAAATCTTCCAGTTATACTTTAAAAAAAGTGTCTACATCAACATACATTAATTCATGATGTTGCTGAGACCATGACAATTAGAAGATTATGGAAGGCATCAATATTCATTTACCTCCAATTTAACAGTACAAACTATGTATTTTAAATAAATTCTTAACATTGTTTAAAAACAACAACAACAACAACAACAAAAAACAGATCGCCAAAACCTGAATTGCAATATTGTCCAACAAAACAAAATACAGACTACTGCATGAATAATAGAAAGGGATTAAAAAATAATATGTTGGGTAAAATAGGTTCATTCTTAGAGGTATTTATGAGCAGTGAAAACATCAGTGGAAATAGATGTGCAAAGGGATTCATTAAACAGGAGAAACAGAATCTTCCTATTCAAGGAGTCAGCAGAGACAATTTTCTGAGTTGTTTTACCTCTGTTATTCCAAGCAATGACATAAGTTTATAGTTCTCACAAAACTCAATTTATACTCCTGAGAGTTACTATAAGAAATTCCAAGTATAATACAAAATAAAGTAGCTGCTTATTAATAAGCAGTTTCCTCATATTTATATTCACTTTTCTCACAGTATTGTTATAAAAGCAAAAATTGAGAGCCTGATGTTTCTTACTCTTGTAAAGCATAGTCACAATTCACATCTTGGAAATAAATCTAATGAAAAAATACCAGAAACATATACCTGAGTATCTATTTTCCCATTTACTTTAGTGAGCAGCTTTCAATAAGTCCAAGAACATACAAGTTGAAAATTGAAAATATTTTTCAAGTACTTTTATATAAAATCTAACAATAGACTTTCCTACAGAAAGAAAAAAGATGGGAAATATGCCAAAGTAGTTATTGGAGAGGAAAGTTTGGAAATGGGCAATAATTACAGAAAGAGAAATCCCTCAAGATACACTGAAGAATAAGTTGCAAGCAGTCAAGAAGTCTCATCTTATTTCTGAATACTATGATTAAGATTATGTGTGAAATCTAATATATTAATGCTGGCAAATATCACTTGCCATGCACGTATGCATAAAAAAGAAGAGGTATACCAAAAAAAATGATTTGGCCCACCTTTCTCCCTTCCTCTGCTTTTCCACTGAAAAGAAGAGAGGTGCAAAATAACTTAGCTTTCTGGATATGAACTACAACAAAATGCAGTGTTAAAGAATGTTTGGACAAAAGACACTGTGAAGGAAACAAAGTGTTGAGAAAAATATGAAAGGAAAATTATTGTTAATATATAGTATAATCCTTGCTTGAGTAACTTGCCAAGAAGAACTGCAAGAAATCTTCTGTAAAGTCAATATTATCAGTCCCATGTTCATTTCCTTAAGTGCACTCATTTTACTTCAAACTTATGCCAGTATAACAGATCCTTTGTCTTTAAATTCTATCTAATAATTTATTAGGGCAGTAAAACCTCAAAACCATTATTTTTTATAAATTGCAATGAGATGAAAAATATCTGGAATAAAAGAAAGACTAGAGAAAGAAAACACGCATGGTAGTATGTCCTACCATGTTGACACAGTAAATAAACGAGGCCAATAAACAAATAGCTACACATTTCTACCTATTTTTAATGAATATTCAGCTTTCAGATATTCAAATATATCACTAAGAAGGCAGCATTCAACTACCAAATGAAAGGGGGATGTTTCAGATGATTGATGTTACTACAACTGGGTCCAAGTTGCAATTCCGTAAGAGCGCAGATCCCACATCTCATCAGGCTTTCTCCTGTTTGCTCTTGTAGAAGTCTTGGATACTCAGGGATATCTGAAAGGTGCATTTACTTATGCATCTGCATCTGAATCACTCACAAGCAGTTCACAAAATGTGTGTGAGCTCTGGTTATTTATGTTAAGTAACAAGTAAGGGTAAAATCAATAAAACAGGAAAATTGCAGGGTGCTATTACCACATAAGACTTTCAACAGTCCCAGAGAGTACAGAGTGGGAATGCTACTCTGTACAGTTTCTTAAATATAGAAGTATATCGTTATAAACATTCTTACTATTCAACACGAAGTTAAATCTTACCTCCAAATAACTGCTGACTCACTGTGCAGGAAACCTAGCTATTTGTGTTTTGTTGATGATGTGAAAAGGCACTCTTGCCAGTTTCTATTCCTCTCAATTTTTGATATATTCTGTTATTTCAGAGCTTTTTTTATTTTATACACTTATCGAATTATAACTTATATACACTAAAGAAGTGGCCAAATGTCCACAATCCTTGATTATTCATAGCAAGGCCATAACTACATTTTTTTCTGATCTTTAACCCAGTAAAATCCTCAGTAAGGATTATTCCTCTGTAGCAGTCCTATAACCAGTCCTATAATTTTTCTGTACTGATCTTCTGATTTTTCTTCTTTCAAGAATACCAGATGGAAACAAAACAAAGAATAGTTGCAACTCTGGTATGTTGATATTTTCATACTTCTGCATATGAGTTAAGCAGATGGAGATTAGGTAATTCTGCACAGCTATTCTTCAAAACAACTCAAGTTAAGGTATAAATACCAATTTCTAAAATCATATTCCATGGTTTTCCATGTGACTGTTACAGCAAACAAATTCACTCGTATACATATATTATTGACTGGAAATGTTTTGTACATCTAATCAATAAACTAGTTTATCTGTGTTGAACCAATACTTCGGACTATTTGTTTTGCTCAACCTAACTAGTACTAAGTTGTGGATGATATATTTCAGAGCAAGAGTATAGCATGTGAAATAAGTCTAATGCCTCTTTAATGTGTATGTGTTTATAAACAAAAAATGGCATTAAAATATTTACCTCTGGCAACAGTCCTTCCATTTTATGAATAGTTCTTTTGACTACTAATAGTATTCTTTAGTAGTAGTTTATTT